ACGGGTGTTTCCAATAGGTGTTTTGAGGCTTTATTTCCAAGCACTGGGACCCTGGGTTGCATGGTCTGTCCTGCTCCCCAGTTTCACCTGGTTTATCTGTGTGCAAATGTGGGACCACCTGATCAGCCAACACCCTTGCCTGCAGTGCCTCGCTTCACAATTGCCACTTTGCTGGGTCTGCCCATTGCCATTGCCATCTTGGGTGTTGGGGGCGCCTTGAGTGCCCAGTGCAACCACTCTTTGTGCAGCAACCCCGCTCTGCTCCACCACCTGACTCCACCCCACTTACTGGTCTCGATGAATGTGTCTATTTTAACTCCTTGGTTTTCTGACTTCCATACAGTTCAATTTTGTGTTAGTTCTGGTTGTTATTTTGTTTCTAAATTATTGTTGTTCTTATTTTAGTTGTGCAAGGAAGCACAGTGTATCTATCTATGCCTCCATCTTGGCCAGAAGTTGAATGAGTGAAAATTTAAGGTTTTTTTTTTAATATAAAATGATAACAGTAATGTCTGCTTTGATCACTAGTCCAGACTACCTGCTGAGGGCCAGGCTCTGTGGGGCAGAGCCCCTGGGGGCATCTCATCTCTGTCAGACCCTCTGTAGAAACCTTCTCCAGGCCTGTGACTTCTCTCTGTGCCTAGAGATCCCTGTTCCTCCCAGCTATGACATCTCAAAATCCTGAAATTTCTGTGTGGTTCTCATTGAGTTGATGAGCTAACCAAAGCCCCATGAGGGGCTGATTTAACCAAGGTAACCGAGGACATATCGTGACCAAACTGTGGCAAGTGAGGTACACAAGATGGTTTACTGAGGAAAGGACAGTTCAACTGAGCCCTGAACAGAACAAAGATGCTGTTCCAGGCAACAGGAACTGCATGGCAAAGGCCTGGAGGCAGTAACCTCCCGGGACTAGTTTAAAATGAGAGTGTCTCATTGTGGGGACATAGGGAGGGCCTTAGGGGGTCAGCATGGCAGGTCATGGAGTCTGGATCCTTACAGGAGGGCTGTGGGGAGCCACAAAGAGTGTCAACTGGATGGCCCTGCAATGGCCCAGCTCCCTACATCTCTGCCCCTTCCCCACCTATTGGGGAAAGGAGAGAGGGTCTGTCAGTTTCTGGATCCTTACCAAAGAGTCCTCCACATTCCTGAAGTACCTCCATCAGTGACTAATCAGGGGAGAGAATTGTGAGACAGAGTACCTTCCAGGCACAGATATCAGGCTGACTCCTCCCAATCAGAAAAAAGAAACTCCATGCCCCTGCAGCAGCACCACACACATATTTCAGCTTTGTGAATATTTGCGGCTCTCTCCTAGCACTGGCAAACTCCTTATAAAATAATTGAACCCTTGTAACAGTTTTGTCCTTGAGGTTTCCAATGAAGACATCACTGAGCATTCATTCTCCAATGAAGCTTCTCTTTGGTCCCCTCTCCTGGCAGGCCAGGCAGGCAGCTGGCTGACAAAATGTGCCAGATATTCTCTTCCTGCCCCTCTTCTCTGGCCCTGTCCACCCTAAGGCCAGGCCCTGAGACCAGGCAGGACACAGTCCCTCACTGAGCCTCAGTTTTTTCATCTATAAAATGGGAAGAATAATGGCATAAACCTCATCAGTTCTTCCTGAGATTTACATAAATCTCTCTCTTTTTGTAAATCGTATTATTTATGCTTTTATTTTGTATTTTTGTGTAATTACTGTTGTCCCCATTTTCCCCCCATGACTCTCCCCCGCCCTACCACCTCCACCTCCCACATTCAATCCTCCCCTCCCTATTGTATTGTCTTTGTTCATGGATCCTTTATACTTGTTCTTTGATGACCCTTCCCCTTCATGAGACAGGCTGGGTTGCATGGCTGCCATCCCTATGAGGGACGCTGAGGAGATGGTTTTTCAGCAGCTGGCCCTTTAAAGCAGCCAGTACAGAGGGGGTGTGAGGAGGGTGTGCTATTTCAGCAGAGGCTGAGGTGGTGCTGGGTTGCTAGCTGAGGCCAGAGGGGATGAATCAAGTCCCCCTGAGCTTCCTTCCAGCTTATAATGGCAGGATTCTATGAGGTTTCTTAGTCTTGTTCTAATTAAGGGAGTCTAATACTAAGATTTATGAGGATTCTAATTCCTGGTGACTCAGACTCAAGCAGATCTGAATCTACCTCCCCTCTACCTTCCTAGCCCAGTTAGAGCCACCATCTGGCTCACCAGGACTCATGTAGTAGCCTTTTTACAGCTGCAGCCCATTTCATGCCTCAAGAACAGCCAGAGGGATCCTATGAAATTTGAACCAGATCATGCCCTTTCTCTGCTTTGTATAACAAGAAGAATCCAAACTCCTATGGCCCCTTGTGTCCTCTCCCACCTCTCTCTCCCTCTCTGGTTGCTACCCCACCTCTGTCTTACATGACACCATATTTGGTCTCTTGCATGGTACTAATCTTTTGAGAATTGCCCTATTTATTCTTCCATATGTTTCATTTTTCATCTCCTCTGCTGGAATGCTTGTCTCTTTCACTGCTGTGTCCCTGGGCATGGCATACAGTGGGTGTTCAATGAATAGTTAGCTGTTGGCAAATCTTCTGTAATTAAGAGAGTCTAAATCTGTGCCCTGCTGCCCAAGGTTTGATGCTCAACGGACATTTGTTGATTGACTGACTGACCTGGCACAGCTCCAACTGAATGAAATGCACTTCACATATGTTGTGGAGAGAAAGCAGAAAATAGCACACAAGTTCTGTTCGCAAAGGCAGAAGGGACTTTGTGCTAAGCTGCTGTCTCGCAGGGCACACCTACCTACCTGCCCTCAGTACCCGCTCAGTGGGTCCAGCCACCAGCTTACACCTGCCATACTTCTTGCCTTTGTCCTTCACCACTTGGACCAGGCACGGGCTGACTGGGCCTTGACCATTGATGGGGAATCTGAGGCTTAATGGGATTGCTGTGGGGGCCTTGAAGCTCTGCCGGGAAGTGTAGGGCAGGACCTGAGGTAAAGCAGGGGTTTGGGGAGAAAGGCGATGGGGTTAATGGACTGCTAATGGCCTTACAGCTGCCATCAGGTGACCCCTGGTTCCCCAGGGGCTGTTAACAGTGCTAATGGGGGCTGAGATGCCTCCTCCCACAGCAAGCACTTCCCTCCTTAAGTCCAGGGTCATCAGGACCTTTAAGAGGATGCATAGCAGGGAGAAAAGGGAGGAGCAAACAACCCCTCCTCCACTCTAGAACTCAGGTAGTTCAAGGACCCACCTTAGAATGTGGTGCAAGGTCATCATTGTTTATCCCCACATTACAGATGGGGAAACTGAGGCCCAGTTCATCAATTTGTTCCTATTTATCCCCTCACTTCCAGCTCCTGTGATCATGGCTCACCTCTCCTCTGCAGGACCCCAGTCCAGACCCTCAGGAACAGCTTCCAATCCAGGCCAGAGGAGGAAAGCTGGGGACAACTCACCCACTGGGCACAACAGGCACAGTGCCTAGTGCACACTAACTTCTGGAATCAATAGTAGAAATGAGAGGAGAGATGAGAGCTTTCCAGGGCCTTGAAGCGTCGCTAAATTTAAAGTTTGAGTTGGCTCAATCAGCAGTGGAAGGTGAAGAGGAGATTTCTACTGAGCAGGTTGGAGTCAGATGTTAGAAAAATCTCTGTAAGTGAGAGATGAATGCAGAGACAGATGCAATCAATGATGAAGAAAGAAAATAGATGAACCTGTGGATAGATGGATGCATCAACGAACAGGTGAGTGTATGTATGGGAAGGATGGATAATTAGATGGGGTGAGAGCAGGCAGACTCAGCCCATCAGATGGACTGAGATGACTGAATGGATAGCAGATGGATGATTATGGATGGATAGGTGAGTGGATGAATGGTTGGGTGGATGGATGGATGAATGGATGAACTAAAATATTTTCATCACCTCAAAAGAAACCCAACTCCCACTAAACAGTCACTCCCACTCTCCTCTTCCTCAGCCCCTGGAAACCATTATGTACATTCTGTCTGTGAATTTGCCTATTCTGGACATTCCAAATCAATGGAATCTTACAGTGTGAGGTCTTTTGTGTCTGCTTTTTATTGCTTAGCATAATGTCTTCAAGATTCATCCATATGGTAACATGAATCAGTACTTTATTCATTTTTATAGTTGAACAATATTCCATTATATGGATTTGTCACATTTTATTTATTCATGCATCTGTTGATGGCCATTAGGGTTGTTTCCAACTTGTGACAACTGTGGATATTGATGCATGAACATGTCTGTATGTGTGTGGATGTCTTTTTTCATTTCTCTTAGGACATACCTACAAGTAGAATTTCTGGGTCCTATAGTAACTCTTGGTGTAATCACCAAACTCTTTTTCACAGTTACTATAAGGGTTATGTCTTCTGTGTTCTAAGCTACCCCCAGTTGCCATGCAAAGAAGAGGTGAAATGGGCAAGTGTGACCCAGGGAGGCTGTGATGCAACCACAACTCTAGTCCAGTGGCAGGATGACTGTGACAGCAGTAGTGGGGGAAGTGGTCCTGTTTGGAATTCAGCAGGTACAACTGCAGAATTCACTGAGGAGCTGGGTGTGTGGTGAGGGAAAGTGAGGAATTGTTACTTCCTGAGCTGAAAATGCCAGGAATGGTCTCGCCTCAGGGTCTTTGCATTTGCTGTTCCTTCTGCCAGGAATGCTCTTTCTCAAATGGATTCTTGTTTAATTCTTTAACCATTTCAAGTCTTTATTCATATGTTGCCTGCTCAGGAAGACCTTCCTGGACCATGAGATTTAGAAGTGCAGCCCCTCCCACCCTGGCAGTATGCCCCCCCTTGCCTTATTTTTCCAAGGTACCTAATTGCTACCTGATATTTATCAATCCCCCAACTTGAGTGTCAGCTCCACAAGGGTAGGGTTATTAATCTGTCACCAGAGGATCTCTAGCCCCTAGCACAGAACCTGGCACAAAGTGGGTGCCCAATAAGTGTCATAGAATAAGGAAGACCAACAATCATGCATTCATCAAATTCATTCATTCAACAATTTTTATTAAGCACCTGCTATGTGCAAGGCACTGCTCCAAGCACTGAGGAGGTAAGCAAGCCAGATGGCATTCTGTCCTCTGTGAGGCAACATTGCAGTAGGGAAGACAAGAGATGAATGTACCAGTGTGTCCATAGACAGCAAGACAGCTCAGGCAGTATTCAGGGCCAGGAAAGACAGAAGCGGGACACAGGGTTCTGGGGTGACCACCCAGGCCTGGCATGCTCGCCACCTACAGAAGGAAAGACTAAGGCTCAGAGGGGGATGTCTCTGCTCAGGGCTTGGCTTTGGCACTAACCTCCTGCCTCCTGGCCTGGCCCTGGTAATCTCCCCATCCCCCCCCCAGGAAATGACAGTGCAGACCATGACTTCATTCATCAGATGCTCCTGGCAGCAGGGTCAATATTCTCACACATGTGCAAGGCCTGTGGGCTCCTCTCTCGTAAGGATGCCTGGCTTTCTCAACTACCCTTGTAAGGCCTCCTCCAGTTCCTGATGCCTGGAGGGTGGCAGTGGCGAGTCCACCCACCATCACACAGCCAGAATAGTTCAGGCAGGAGGCACAACCCAGGCCCTTGGACTTCAGGGAAGGCACAGAAATCAGTTCCCAGCTTGGCTTCTTGCTTCCTTGAACTTCAGAGGTGTGCAAGAAGAGGCATGATGACAGCCTACCAAGGGCTCCACAGGAATCCACACATCCCACAGGCAAGGACTAGCTTTACACATTTAGATTCAGACACACATCTAGGGGATCAGAAGATGCCTAGAAATCTAAGAGGGTCTCCACAGAGGGTGGCTAGTGACCAACCTATCCTAGTGACCTGATGGGGACCAAGCCTGTTCCAGCCAACAGGTAGGAAGGAATCAGAGAAGGGGAGGGGAGTGTAGGTTGAGGCTTCTAGCCAGGCTAGGGCAGAGAATGCACCACCGGAGGACCAGGGACGTGAGCTTCCCTGAGAGAGGTGGGGCCCCAGAAGGTGAAACTACAGTGAGCACACGTGTGCCCACCTCATGCATCACACACACACACAGCTCTTCCTCCAGTCAACACTCCAGCTCCACTTTAAAGATGAGGAAACTGAAGCTTAGAAAGGTTGTACCTCTGCTAGTGGGTGACAAAACTATGAGTCAGACCTGACTCCAGCTTTTAACCCCTGGCTGGCTGACTCATTACCCTCTAAAGCAGGAGATGGGGTTGGGGACAGAACTGCCCCTTTCTGCTCCCCCAACTCCTGAAGGCCAAGTAGAGGCAGGGTATTACAAGGATGTGCCCTGGGCCAACATCACATGGAGTGATGAGGGTGCAAGAAGCAAAGAATGTTTTGGACTCTTTGGCAGGGAAGCAGAGGCATTCCTTGGGGATCCTCCCTCTAAGCCCTTTAGGGAGGACTTTCATGCCTGATGCAGAGAGGAAGTAGCATTCTCATTCTCCAACACACCCTGAGTCTCCCCCAAGATTCCTGGGACCGAAGGTAGGAGTCCACTGGGTCCTCAGCACACCCCTGCAGGGCCTAGCAGGGAGCTTTGTGATGTTCACCCAGATAACACAGTGGCACATCCTTGTAGACCAAGTTCAGAGGCATGGAGTCCTAAGGGGCAAGTCAAAATCCCCAGCCCACCACTTCTACCTCAGGGCTGGTATGACAAGGAGGCTAGAGCATGGAGTAGACCCTGCCTGCCCTCTGCTTGAAATCACACAGGAACTTGTGAGCAAGTGGGGACCTGGCAACAAGACCCTCATGATCTAGCCCAAGCCCCCTGACAATCATGCACCTGCTGTCTGTCGTCTACTTTGCTCCAACCACACTGGCTTCCTGGAGTGCCTAGGCAAGGCACAGTTCCAAGACCAGGAGGCATCCCAGGATCTGCCACCATCTCTGCGAGATCACAGCAGGGAGGGCTCATGCTGAAGCCCAAAGCCCAAGCCTCCAGCTCCATCGCAGAGAGGAAGGGAGGTGATGAGACCACACCTAGTATGTAGTAAGTGCTTCAGCCACCCTGGGAGCCCAGGGAACCCTGCTTTGAGAAGTATGCAGGCCCAGTTGGACAGTGGCTCTATGGGCTCTGCTGCAGCGTCAGCTCTGCATCTCCAAGCGGCTGGTGGGAATGCTCAACACCAAGGGTCACTGAATGTGTCTCCTTGCTTTCTCTGTCTCCTCTGAACCCCGGCCTGGGGGCTAAGTGCCATGACCTTGGGAAAGGAGCCTCAAGTGGGGGGTCACTGCACTGGGGGTGGATCAGCCTCATCACCAAGATCACCTGAAGTTTTTCTTGAGGATTGACTGAGGAGCAGCAAGTCGAGCAGCAGGAACACCACAGGCACAGAGTAAAAACAAATTAATATGTGCTCCTTCTTTTTGCCCTATCCCCACTCTGTCAGTGCCATACTGTCTTATCCTGGGTGGGTTTCCTCCCTCTCTGAGCCTGGTGCTTCTAGTGTGTCCTCTGAAGGAGCTCGGCCAGGACCCCTGAGGTTCTGGGATTTCCAGGCTGCTTGTCTGTCCTTTTGAAGGTTCATGCTGCAGAAAGGTAAGAAAAGAGAGTCAGGCTTAGATAGTATCCAGCTCAGGAAATGGTCAGGAACTACCCCTCTCCAAGGCACCAGTGGCTGGCAGGGGACAGTCCCTGAGGAGGTCTCCAAGGTGTCTGTGGAGGACATGAGGGGCCAGCGCACTGGAACTAAGCTCCCCTGGGAGCTGAGGATGCCTGTTTCCTAGAGGCAGCATGGCGAGCGACAAACCTGGGAAGAGTGACAACAGTGGGACCAGCTCTAGCTTTGGCTTGGTCTTGACTCACCATGGGATCAGGTCTGCCATCTGGCACCCATGGTTCTCCATATCCCTTCTGTCACATGGGAGTGCATCCCCCTACCTGCCTCAGGGCTACATGGGAGACGCGAAAGGCCCAGTCCTCCTCTGTGGCAGGATCCTGACCACACCACTGTACCTTTCTGAACCTCTGTTTACCCAAATGCTTAGCAGGAATTGACCCCTGGCTTCTGACCCATCATTCTGATCAGGACAAGCACCCCACCCCTATACCAGCAAGGAGAGAGATCTGGAGGATAGGGAGAGGAGGCCAAGTCCAAAATAGCCTGGGGTGGCATGTGGTACCAGCTGGGCAGCAAGAGCTGGTGATTGATGGTTCCGCATGGCCAAGAATAAAACATTGGCCTTGACTCCACTCTGGGTTCATTATTGGCTAAAGGTCCTTCATTAGGGTCACTCCTGTACATCTCCTCCCCAGGACCTCCCTCTTACCTCTCGTGACTTGGCTCACCAGTGTTCAGAGGACACACTGAGGCCCTTGGCAAGACCACCTGCCCCTGTCCCCTCCTGCAAAGCCAACAGCCTCGCCATTTCCTGAGCCTATCCTGGTTTCCACACCTCCCTGTGTTTGCCTGTGCTGTAGCAACTGCCTGGAGTGCCCTCTCTTCTCCTTCTAGACTGAGGAAACCCTTCTAAAGGCCCCACCCATTTAAAGGCCCCACCAAAGTTAATCTCTCAGGACATTTTGCCTACCTTTGACATGTACCTGGGACCCATGGGTCCCTTATCAACCCTGAGCATGGTCAGTGCTGTCCTACCCATGTGAGAGCTGACTGCCAGGCCAAGAGTGCTTCCCTCAACCCCTACCCGACCTTTGCCAGCTCTAAAAAGTGCAAACCAAATTCAATTTACCTGGATATGCCATTTACATCATCAGATTGTCAAAAATCTCAGCATAGCTCAGGGCACTGGGTACCATACTCATCACTGCCCAGATGGCCGCCACAGAGGGGGCCATTTAGGCAAGCTTGTCAGAAATTACTCCCCACACAGGCCCACTGAAGACTTTAGCTCATGGATATCTTTGCACATGTGTGAAGTGACACCTGAGCAAAGATGCTCACTGCATCCTGTTTGCAAGAACAAAAGGTCAGACACCAGGATGCCCACCATGAGGCACTGATGCACTAAATAGCACTGAATATCAGTGACATCTTATCAAAGAATATCACAAAGCAGAGAAAAAGAACAATGTGGCTCCTTCAATCCTGACATGAGACACTTCCAAGATATATCAAGTTTTTTTAAAAAACAAGGCATAGAACAGCATTCACACATGCTACATTTTTTGTTGTCTTTGTTGTTATTCAAAATAAGAACCACAAAAAAAGATTTTGTATCAATGCTATGTATGTATGCAGGTCTCTGGAAGGACACACAGGAAATCTGGTTGTTGCCTCTAGAGAGCTATGAGAAGCTGGAGGACAGAGAAAAGCAGGAGCCATCCATGTTGTGCCCTAACATTCTGTGCACAGTGTGTCCTTTAAAAATTCAATAGAAAAATGAAACCTGCTAACCCATTGGCCCAGGAGTTTGACAATGGCACTCAAATCCTTTGGAAATAGTTAGGACATGTGGTAGCTGTGACCTTGGGACTGCTGCAGCGGTGCTGTTTAAATAGCTAAGTGTTCAAAAGGGCTTGCCGTCCAACCAGAGGGACAGCCTTTCATGCAGAGGACCTGACGGTGCAGAAGGCACCCCACACTGCCAGTGGTCAGTAAGGTACACAGCAAATACTGTGGAAGAATAGTAAGTGTAATTGGGACAACTGTAATAACATAATTGATAAAATATAATTCTAAAAAAGAAGAGCAGGTGTGTTTAATGATTAAGGAAGTGTGTAGAGGCAACATCCCAGACATTAGCAAAGTGTATCCCTGGCTCCAGATAAAGCAGCCAGCTGTGTCCCAACTACAGCCCACTCTTCAGGGTGCCAACCCTGGAGCACCCTCATATTAGCTGGCCCCTCTCAAGGTTCAGAGACTGGGGCTCCCACCCATCCCTCACATAACCAAACTGACTCCCTGACCTATGAAAACAAGTGCCCATCATGCCTTTCTGTCTTACACCCCCATGGAGAGACCAATGAGGAAAAGGCTAGCACCCCCACACTGCATTACATCCCTTCCTTCCTCAGGGCCCCCACATGGTGCCCTATGAAGACTCAGCCCAGCAGAGGTAGTGGACTTGTTGGCCTGGGTGGAGTTCCACCTGCCGCTGAGTGCTGTGTGACCTTGGGCAGAATGGAAGATTAGGTTTGGGCCCTCAGACCCCATTTGGCCTCAAGTTCCAAGCTTCAGGGAAAAGAGGGGGAGAGAGAAGGAGTAATGGCTTAGGAGGGGGCTAAAGACAATGCACAGCAAGGGCAGGTGCTGTGTGACAGCGGGCAAGTAGCTCAGCCTCTCTAAGCAGCCTTTCTCTGAGTGTGTAATAGGACTCCATAAACTAACAGCCTGGGGCCTTTCAAGATTCCTGGAGTTGGCACTGTGAGAAGGCTTTACCAGGCTCAAGCACAGGCCCAAGATGCAGAATCGAAGCAACAAAACAGACCCTCTGAACCACACAACCCCCACCACCTCATCCACCAGCAAAACACCTGGTCCTAAGAAGAGTCTGGTATAAATAATAGGTCAGGCCTGGGTATATGAAGGCTCTGAGTGTCTGGGAAAAAGAATGAAGAGGAGTCCTATTTCTGGGGCCCAGAGCCCATCGCATCTGCTACCAAGGGGGCAGGAGAGAGAGGTCAAAGCAAGCCTTGGTGACCAGGCCAATGCTCACTGCCCCAGAGACTGGAGGCCACGTTCTGCCTCCTGGTTTCCCTTGCTGCTAGGTGGGCATGTGCTTCTGTTCTGAACACCAGGACCAGAGGAGATGTCTACTGGAGCCTCAGAACAGGTAACCCCACCTTCTGGGGCAGAATGTGTCCTGTGCACATGAGGTGCCCCTGAGGGACCTACAAGGGCCAGGGCCAGGCTCAGGGGCATGCTCAGGGCAGGGGGTGGGGAGCTGGCTCTCTGAGACAACCTTGAGCCACCAGACTGGCCCTGGCTCTACCCACTCCAGAAGTGACATGAAGTGACAGCATCAGAGGTGACTGCATCAGAGGCTACCTGCATCAAAGCCCAAGCCATCACAGCTGGTGACCTCAGCCCTGACCCCTTGACTGGTCAGCCTTGGGAGAGCCAGATGTCCTTCAGAATCTGAATTCTCTCCTGTCTAAGGTGGAGCCACCCCTCAGATGGCAGGATGGTTGAAGGCCCCTCTTTACTCCATCAGGCAGGGCTCTGGGGCAGAGGTGAGAGCAGCAGATGGGAGAGGCCTACAAGACAGAAGGAAAAAACACCCAGGCCCCCAGGCCTGGAAGTTGTGCCCCACACCACCACAGACTTCTCCTTCTTACCCTCCCTATTCAATGGCCCATGGTGTTGTCTTGACAATGACACAACTCTCACCCTTCACCTCTGCCACTGCCTAGCTGTGCATCCTTAAGCAGGTCTGTGAGTCTCGCTGAACTCTGGCCACCTCATCTGCAAGATGGGATGAATTAGAACATGCAAAAGCTGTTTGTGCCAGTGCCAGGTGCCCAGTAGGCTTTACTCATTCCTCCAACTGATTGAGTAGTTGCTACACACCAGGGCTCCTGGGTCAGGCACTGTGGCTAGCAAGGAGGCCTGGCCTCTGCCCTTTGGCACCAGACAGGGTGCTGGTGTTTGATCACATTCAGTGATGAGAAAGCTGAGGGGCAAGCCCCCAGATGTGAGCGCCATAGCACACTGAGGGTGAGGGAGGACCTCCTCATGGAGTGACAGGGCTAGGGAAAAGGGTATCCCAGGCCAAGAGAAGAGCAAGGGCAGAAGCCTGTTGCTGGAAGAAGCTTGTGGTATTTAAGGAGGACAGAAGGCCATAGGGGAGCAAGAGGAGAGGGAGTCTGGGCTAGGGTTGGGGTTGCAGCAAAAGCCGGCAGTCTGAGGACAGACTACCTTTGGGACAGACACAGCCTTTTTCAGTATAGTAGGTGGAACGCAGGCAGAGACCCAGGCTCTTGTCCCAGCCCTGTCACTATCTCTCTATGGGACCCATTCATGCCCACCTCTGGGGCCTAGCTACTCAGGGTAGCCGCTGGGAAGACAAGCCCATTAGCCCGGCTCAGTTCCCTGGATGCTCTGGGTCTCTGTGCCAAACCAAAGGCTCCAGCTTAACACTGGTCTGCCTGGGATCAGGGACCAGACAATGATGGGCAAATCCCCTGCAAGCCTGGGACTCAGGCCTAGTTCCCACCCCAAAACATGCACAGAGCCCTGCTTCTCCCATTTGTCCATTCATCCATTCATGTGAGAAGGCCTGGGCCAGTGCCTCCCCACTGCTCAGCTGCACAGGCCCCCCTGTGAGCTTGGAGTTAAGAACACATGCCTTAGTTTACCTACCTATTAGAGTGTAGTGAGGGCTTATAGAGTGTCCAGCTCATGGGAAACTGGTGAGATGGGAATGGTTCCTGCACGTGTCTCTCCATGTCACTCTTGAACTCTGCAAACCGAAGAAGGAAACAGCTGGTGCCTCATCCTCAGGACACTCACAGGTCTGGTGAGGAAAGAGACTGAGCCAGACTGCTCTAGTGTGTCCAGCCAGGAAGCAACATGTCTCCAGGTCTCTCAGAGAGAGCCACTTCTAGGGAACTGGTTACATGGATGATGCCACCACAGAGTAGACACCAGTAAACAGCACCAGCAGGAATCTATTCCTCCTGAAGCCATGGGAAATGTGTAGCTGCTGCCAAAAATGGAGGGAGGCAGTCGAAAACCCTCTCCCTTCCCACTGCCAAGCTCCAGTTGGGTAAGGGGTAGGGACAAGAGGGAGACTTTCATCAGAGGCCCTGCCTCCAGGGCCTGACACACAATGGATGCTCAAAGGCAGGGGTCAAACAATGAATGAGAGACAAACGCCAGATAGGAAAGGAAGAAGAAAAGATAACAGACAGGGTGATTTGATCCCAGATCTTGACATGCATGCCAGGTTGTGTTTGGCTTCAACCTAAAGGCTGGCATGTCCTCAAATCTCTCTTTGACCCTAAATTGAACATATGTAAGGTTTTTAGCCCTAAACCTTAAAGACCCTGACTTCTCCCATTTTAGTCCTGAGCTATACAAGTCAATGCTTATTTCCTCTCATTTTTCAGACAACAAAACAGAGGTATCAGAAAAGGGCAGTAACTTAACCCAGGGACAAGGCAACCTACCTATGGGTTTTTTAAAAGATTTTATTTGTTTATTTTTAGAGAGAGGAGAAGGAAGGGAGAAGGAGAGAAACGTAAATGTGTGGTTGCCTCTGACATGCCCCTACTGGGTACCTGGCCTGCAACCCAGGCATGTGTCCTGACTGGGAATCAAACCAGTGACCCTTTGGTTCACAAGCCTGCACTCAATCCACTGAGCCACATCAGCCACAGCAACATACCTGAGATTTTACAGTTAGGGGCAGTATAGATACCATAAGGGGCGAGTGTATCCCTGATTTTCCAGTGGTAGAAAAATTGCTGTGAAGTCCAGGAACTGGAGAGAACTAGGAAAACGATGTTATGCAGCCTTTTAGTCCTGCCTCATTTGGTGGCAACAGTACTTCAAAGCTTCAGTTACCAGTTTTTGATCTAGAAGGAATACAGAGAAGCAAAGTCTGCAGAGGCACCTATATGACCTTTGTCCCACCCTCTGGGGGACACATAAATGACCCTGGCCGAGGCCACCAGTGCAAATCCTACTGCACTCAGGCAAGAGAGCATAGTGAGAGGAAATTTGAGGCATAGGGGTGGATGCTGTTTGATTCTAAATTTCCAAAATTAGGCCCTGGTGCTGTCAGACCTTTGGTTCCTTAAGAGAGGCTGGAAATCTGTATTTTTCATAATAAAAAAAAATCTTAGATATTAAAGTGTTTGTCACTAGTTCCAAATTTTAAAATCTTCAGGAGAGTCAATTCTCTGTAGGCCAAACTGAATGTGTCTGCAGGCTGGACCACAGCTGTGACCCCTGCTGTTTCTTAGCAACTTCCTCCAATGGCCAACCACAGACAGACCTCAGGGCCTTTGCACCAGCTGCTCCACCACCTGCAGGCATCTCATGGCTCATTCACTCTGTTCAGGATTTTGCTCCAGGAGGCCTTCCCTGACCTTTGTCTTACCATGCCCTGCGTTCTTTGTCTTCCCAGTGCCCGCTTCCCTCTGGCTCTTTGCTAGTGTTTATTTTCCAACAAGAACATCAGCTCCATGAGGCCAGGGTCCCTGTTCCAGGTCTCCCTGGATGCACTAGGGCTACTTAGCTTAGGGTAGACACTTAGTCAACATTTGTTAAAAGGGTAGTTCATCTCATTCCCAGTACCCCAGTGCCCTCATCAGGGACCGATGCAGGGGCAGGTGCTCTTGCCCAAGGGACACTAAGGCTCCAGGACCTGAGAATATATTGGCATTAAACCCAGGGCTTACTGAAGGGAGGCAAATTTATGCCTCAGGCAAAAGTCACAGGAGCTAGTTCCTGACCCATCCCCACCCCAACAGCCTCCATGGGTAACTCTGGAAAAAGCCTGACCTCACTGGAGGCCCTGTTTCCCCACGTATACAGGGAAGAGAGTGGCAAACACCATGGTTTTAGGGGCACACATGGGATCCCAAGGGGGCAGATCCAAGGATCAGTTCACTATTTATAAAGTGTCCACTGCTACTCAGAAGGGTAGGGGGTGGGGGTGCTGCAAACCAAGTAGAGCTGAAGTCCCTGGAGGAAGGAAAATAAATTCCAAAGTCCCAATCAGTGCCAGGGTCCTTGGAAGGAAAACCATGCTCCTGCATAGGAGGGCCTCCTTCCCTACAACTTAGGGCTTCAGAGAGGCAGAGAGCTGCTGCTTCTTTTGGGGCAAGCAGAGGCACAGCAAAGACCCATCCCAAAAGCATGCCCCAAAGAGGTCATCTGGAGTTTCAGTCACATCCCCACATTGAACAGCTGGGAGCTGTGGCAAGGGCAGATCCCTGGCATGTCTCTGGGTACCCAGGCCAGGATATTTCTTGAACACTTGTGATTGAGGACGAAAAATTCATGTGTGGTTACCATTCCAATGCAGAATCCAACCATCATTGTTTTTACATAAAAGTGTGACATCCTGCCCCAGATCTTGGAGGAAAGCCGATGCCCCCTAAAAATGGGTCGTGAGTGTCCTGTTGCTTGGCTATCTCCAGGGGCAACACCCCTTATGAGACAGACAGAGACAGTGTAAGGAGTCAGGACTTGTCTCCTAGGCCTGAGATCAAATACCAGCCCAGGTCCTTTGCACTGAGCCAGACCCTTTCCCCTTATAAACCTTGATTTCCCTGCTGGTGGCCTGGTCTCTTGGAGCCCTAGGACCCTGGCCAGAGCCCCCAGTAACAAAGGAGGGAAGAAGCAAAGTACAGCCTTTTGGAGACAGAGGGCTTATGCCCAGAAAGAAAGACATACTCAGGTAAGAGGGGAGCAGAGGGGAAAGGCACGCGTTCAGCCGAGTGAAGCAGGGGTGCTTATTACGAGGACAATTATCAGGGCCTCAACCAGCAAGAGCAGGAACCTCAAAACACCAGGGACCATATCTGATCCCTCAGGGTCTCTGCCAAGAGAACTGAAACCAGTGTCCACATAAGACTGGTGCATGAATGAACAATTAAAATAAACAATTTTTTTAAAAAAATATGGTGCATGAATGTTGATAACTGCACTATTCACAATGTCCAAAGGCAGAACAATGCAATGTCCACATACAGATGATGGATAAACAAATGGGATATTATTCAGCCATAAAAAAGAATGAAGTTATGACACACATTATGAGATGGATGAACCTTGAGGACATTATGCAAAGTAAAATAAGCCAGATACAAAAGCCAGATACTGTATTATTTCAATTGTATGAAATGTCCAGAATGGGCAAATTCACAGAGACAGAAAGCAGGTTAGAGTTTGCCAGGAGCTGATGGAGGGGAATGGAGAGTGACTGCTAATGGGTGCAAGGTATCTTTTTAGGGTGATGAAAATGTCCTGGAATGGAAATGCTTATACAACACTGTAAATGTATTCGATGCCACTGAATTTACACTTTAAAATGAGTACTTTAATGTTATGTAAATGTCACCTCAATTAAAATGGAAAAACCCACCAGGGACAGAGCAGATCCACTGCAGAACCACAGCAGAAGCAACAGCTGACATAATGAGCCAGACTACCTGGGTGCCATGCCTCTTCTGCCACCTGCCAGCTGTTCAACTTTGGGCCCTCCTCTTCACCTCATCTGTGGAGTGGGGTAAACAGAGGGCCTGCTGCAGGGCCACTGCAGGACTGACGGAGGGAGTGGGTGAGTATGCCAGGAGCAGAGTACCTCCTGAAGTACCATGCCATGCCACGTGGTGTCAGTCTCCTCTTGAAGAGCCTGGAGCCCCTACCAACAGGGGCCACAGCATCTGCATGATGTCTAGGTGGTCAGGCTGGCAGCCTAGGGTAGGTGAGGCTCCCAAGCTGTCCCAGACCACATCTAGGGTGAAGGGTTCCCCCACCAGCGGCTGCAAGCTGAGCCAGAGCAGCCATCTCTTTGTGTCCTTGGTCAGTTAATATCTTTTCCCCGGGCCCTGCCCACCCATCTGGGACATAGATGAACATCAGTCTTTTACAAAGCTTCCATCCCAGAAATTTCCTGCTTGTGGGTTCTTCAAGGAAAGGCAATCAGATGGTGAGGGAGACAGGGTCACACACTGTGTCAGCAGTGGTGAGTAAGTGACAGGTGAGGTTTCAGATCCCAGATTCACGACTTTCCAGTCCTCCCTCCTTCGGGCCCTGGTTGCTTTATCTGGGCTCTCTGTGCCTCACTCTACCCACACATAACAGGCATATAACTGCAGCTTCTTCATAGGGTTTTATAAGGACTGAATGAGTCCATAGTGCCTGGGTTCAGTGTGGGCTCTCAGAGTGTCTCATTCCTATGGCGACAACGAGCCCTTCTTCAGGTGAAGAAATAGGCATGAGTGCAGCTGAAACATGAAAAAGGGAGAGAGTTCATGCTGCAAGCCATGTCCCCTCCATCCTAAACGGACTGACTTTGCTAAGTCTGGGTCCCCTAGGAGTGGAAACTCAGGCATTCAGGCCCGGGGGAGAGGACACTGAGGGAGAGGGTAGAGGAGGGATCAAGCTCTCCCCCCCATGCGTGCTAGTGTGCAAGCCCACAGGCACGGGCACAAGACAGGAAGAGCTGCCCGGAGGGGGGTGCAGTCTGTGCCAGGGTGGATTCAGCCCTACCAGCCACACTTTATAAATTTTGCATCAACGTGGCTATGAATAGCTTCCTCCATAGCAAGACAGATGTTTCAAAGGGAAGAGAATGCCTGATGTGGGGAGCAGATTCTGGAGTCAAGGATGTTGGAAGATGGAAGGGACCCCCCACTACATCCCATGCAGGCCAAGTGAGTTTCTGAGTCCATGGGGTGAGGCTGTGCAGCAGTCCCCACAGAGCCCTAGCAACCCATGAAGACTTCCAAAATTGAGCCTAGGGGGTAGGGAGGGGTCCAGGAGCCTGGAGTGTCATGTGAGCCCCTGGGTGATGCCCGTTCTCCCCAAGCCCTGGTTGGCCCTCTAAACGGGCTGTGAGGCTATTTCTCAGAAGGGCACACCAAGGCACAGAGGCCACCCTCCACCAGAGTTCACACATGCGGTCCTGGGCCTGAGGTAAAGGTGTGAAATGGCTAGAAAAGCAGATAAAAGGGGGGCAATAGACTAATTAATGAGGAGCTGGCTGGAGTGGAGGCCATGGTAGGACCAATGGTGGCCTGGAGACTTCTACAGCCTCTGCAACTGGAGAGCCTGCATTCAGATCTGAGCTCATTCCTTCCTGGCTGGATGGACTTGAGGGAAACACACACACACACACCTCTCAGTGCCTCAAATTCCCCAATAAGAAATACATAATAAAATAATGAAAGTACCCACCCCAAAAGGTGGGGGTTAAGGTGAGGCCTCTAGGCTTGCTGCCCAGGTTTAAAGCCCCAACCCTGCTGCTCACCAACTGTGAAACAGCCTGCCAGCTCAGTGTTCCCATCTGCAGAATGAGCTGACACAATTTCCTGCCCCAGGTGATTGTAAGGAGATTAACATGAGTGTGCACAGTATTCAGAATGAGCCTGGCACAACGAGAGGGCCGCCTATCACTGTTATTAATTTTTGGTCAGCAAAACATGAAGGGGCCTCTCATTTATCGAGAAAGTCACTTCTGGGCAGCATCCCTGGCCACCAGAAGCACACCCTGAGGTGTGTGAGGCAAACATCAAGTCCCCACCAGGCCAGCTGGCCCCAGCTGAAGCCAGGGAGCTTGGTGAGGGTGGATACCCTCACCAAGTAGGGGAGCACCAGATGCTCAGTCCCAGCTGTCCCCACTGGCAGGGCTGGGGGTGAGCGGGCCATGTCCTTGTGGAGCTCTGCAGGGCACTGCCACCTGCACCCATGGCCTACATTCCCTGCTCAGGCCTTCAGGCCATCTCCTTATCCCTGTGCCTCTGTGAGCTGGTCTGTACATGGGAGGACACACCAGCCACCTTGTCAGGCGACAGAGAGAACTCACAGGCCTGGCACCTTACCTACACCAGCCA